TTAGACAGCAATCGACATCGCATAATTATCATCACAATTTTAAACCAATAATAATGATAATAATAATAATAATATCCAATATAAATAAAATAATATATAATAAAATAATTAAAATAAAATAAAACAGTTTAAATCAATAAATAGAACTAATAAATTTAGATAATTTTAAAGAACAAATTTAAAATATAAAAATAGATAAGGATAAAATAATAAAGATTACACTCTTAACAATAGTAAAATGTAAAAAATATTAAATAAAAAATTAACATAAAAAATTATAAATGATGTAGGCATCAGCAAGACAATCAAATAAATAAGTAAATATATCTAAAGACATATATATAAGAATGTGTGACAAGCAATATAAGCACACACACACACACACACACATATATATATGAATAAAGGTACGCACATAGTACCAATATAAAAAATTATAATCAATTATTCAAGTGTATATCCTACAAAGTCAATGTCTTTAGGTAATTTAAAATTTGTTCTTATGTCTACACTTGAAAATAAGTTCATTTCTTTGATTCAATAACTGGTCAGCATTTTTATATTTAATTATTTTAATCTTTCCTTTTTCTTTTTCCTTTTCCCCTTTTTTCTCTCTTTTTTCCCTTTCTCCTTCATTTCTGCATTGGGGTTGACATGATCCAGACAGTCAAAGACAGGCCAGTGAAGAGCCTCGGGCAGCTGTATGAAATTCCACTAACTGATCGGCACCAAGGTAAAGATGTGCAGAAGGTGGCACTAGATAGACTTGAATCCATCGACAGAAACCAATTCTCCGGCAAACTGGAGGCTTGCAGCTACCAGCATGGCTTGTAGCCCCGGCTTGTGTGGCCTTTGCAGGTGTATGATATTCCCCTGTCTCACATTCAACAGACGCATCAGTGCATCAACAAGTACCTGCGCAAATGGCTTGGAGCCCCCTCTTGCTTTTTCATGGTAGGACTCTATACCAATGATGGAGACCTGCAAATTCCCATCTCCTCAATGGTGGAGGTGTTAAAGGTCGAGAAGGTACGCATTTACTTGATGATGGGGGACTCGGACGACTAGTTCGTCCGCTAGTTACGGCCAGATATCAAAACTGGCACCAAATGGTCAGCAGTAGAAGTCACCCAAGAAGCAGAATCCAGTCTGCGAACCAAGGGGATTATGGGTGTGATCCAAACCAATCGTGTCAGCCTGAGCAGCATGAGCAACCAGTTTTCCTCCACAGTCCAAAGGGTAAACAAGACGACATGGTGATTGATGAAATCAGGAATTTCGAGGAAAAGCAGCGAACAGTTACTGCTATTTCTCAGTCCAAACAATGTGCTTGGACGGCATGGAATGATATTGATCTGATGAAGCTATCATGGAATACCCTGATTTCAATGGAGCCTTTGGCAATTTAATTTCTCCTGCGATCTAGCAAGGGTCTTCTACCAAATGTGACCAACCTCAAGCTGTGGGGTACACTGACACGGATGTATGTGCATTACGTCACGTACTCTCTGCATGCCCACAATCACTGCAGATGTACACGTGCTGGAAGTGATATTGGACTTAGTCAGTGCACAGTGTGAAGCAGTCAACAAAGAACCTGTAACGACCACAGAACCTAAGATCCGTATTCATAAGGAAGATGAACGCCATGTGCGAAAGACCCAAATAACTCCCAACATGACGCTACTGAATGGAGCCCGTGATTGGAGAGTGTTAGTTGATCTTAGAAAACCTCTGCAATTTCCTCTACACATCATTCATGCACGCCCTAACATTTTAGTGTGGTTTGATTCAATGAAGTGTGTCCTTCTAGAAAAATTAATGGTTCTATCGGAGGACAACATGGAGGAGGCGATACGACTGCGTGAAAAAGGGATAGAAATTTCATGTGCTACCTTTTAAGGTCGGGTGCCGTGGATTCCTTGGACAGTCAATCGTTTCCCTCCTTTTGAAGGTGGGCATCACTGACCGGAACCTGAAGCGTGCTTCACATCGTCTACAGACCACAGCTTAACAGGCATCGAGTTGGTACTGGTCAAGGTCCAAAATAAATAAAACCAAGCTCACAACAAAATGCTACTTCCACCGTGAAACACATCTGTTTACCTTCCATTCTATGTCATCAATAACGGTCACTACCAGGGCGTTGTGTATTTTAACGTTGAAAATTTACGTTGCAGTTGTAAAAAGAAATCGCAAGAGACAGACACGTATACAAAACAATACCCTATCTGGTGGCAAAAGTTGCTGGTGGTACCAGCAGTGGCAGTACCGCCTTAGCCACCGAGACTGTGTTACCTCCCCTGGTTGGCAGCTGACGAGGGCAGGGTATCGTGCTTGCTTTCACGCGTTGTATGTAGAGAACTATAATATAGCTTACCTTAAAGCTATATTTTTATCATATATATATATATATGTGTGTGTGTGTGTGTGTGTGTGTGTGTGTGTGTGTGTGTGTGTGTATTTAGGCGGTAATCCCTCATTTATACATGTTTCATTA